GAACAATTACCCGATAAAGAACCTTTGAGAACATGGCGTCTGCGGTTCTTCAGTATTCTAAAAGGTTCTTGATATGGACACCTGCAGATTTGTCCCTTTCATAGCACACAGCAAATTGGCCAGTGTTACCTAGTGTTGATTTTTCAGTGCAACATTTCTAATGTTGATTCAAGAGATAAATTAACACTGTAAATAGTTAAATTAACACTCAGTGGTGTAAAATAACCCCAGTGTTGATGTTAATAATCAGAGTTGAATCAAAACCATGCCCATTATTATCATCTTTCCCAGCATGCTCTAATGCAGGTTTATTTTTTATTTTTATTTTTTATATCTACATGTTTGCATGATTAATTAATCTAATGCTACTCAAATATAAATAACATACATTTTTCTAAACTATTCCAATCTGTTACTTGGACTTATTGCAACCATTACTGAAATGGATGTTCCATTTTAGATGTTTAAGGCAGTTTCATGTCTTAGTTTTCCAAACCCTGGCACTAGCAGACATTCTGAATGCAGTGAATAAATATTTCAAATGTTGGATATCCCTGCTCTGGCTGGATTCCAATAGGAATTACACATCACTTTGCAATCCAGTGTAATGTGACGTGCAGCCCATTGTATTGGGGTAAAGCTAGGCCATCGAAAGAAGGCTTATGAAATGTGAATTGTATTGTCTTGGAGAATTTAATTTTAATGATGACATACTCACTTAGGATCTAACTTGGTGAAGGCCATAGGACTGAAAATGAATTAATGCAACAACCATGTTTTTGTCACTAGCAAACACCCTGGGAAATATGCAAATAAGGCTTAAAACCCTACAGCAGAGCTATTCAATTCCGGTCCTGCAGGGCTGAAACATTTCTGTTTTTTGATTTGTGTATGATATTTCAAAGAACCATCCCATTTACAGTTCCTCAGATACCCTAAAATTGTCCCCTAAGGCATCACTCTCAAGAACCTTATTTGGTTCCAACGTGCACCTTTATTTTTAAGAGTGTAGTTGTGTAGTTGATTGAACACTGTAAGGCATTATTGTAGCCATTGCGGAAACTATTCTTCATAGATTCTGTCTGCCATGTTCAGACTGCTGTTTCACAACAGAGTAGTGTTTAATCTAGCATTTCATGGTGCAGGTTTTAAGGATTGTGATATTATTTAAATAACTATACATGCTGTCCATTATAGGACAGCCTTTGTCTCAACAAGTCCTGCTGAAACTGAGGCTTTCTTAATATGGACACTATACAAATATACAAATAAGATTTGACGGTCTCTGTCAATAAAACCTACCGTCTTAGATTGTGCAGATATGTTGGTTAACGATTTCCATGACTTCAGTGGCATTTGCCTTCGATAACTTATAGCCATAGTTAATAGTGCTTGAATCACAGATCAGTCCAAGTGACGGATAGTCGTGTATAGTGATAGAGTTGTTGTGAGCAGTATCCATCATCATAAGGATGATGAAAGATGGCGTGTATGCAATAGGGCTGTATTCAAACCTTATTGTCAAAGTATCGCGGAAGATCCGCCGCATTAAAGGTTTTTTCTGCTGCGCCGCAGTCTGTAGCATTCTCAGAACTCCCCTAAAGATTCATTAAATGTAATACATCTCTGCACATAGCAAAAGATACAGGTGAAATCAGTTATTGGCACAGGCATGGTAGCATAGCAGGAAGCCCAGAATGCCGTGACCCATGATGTTGTGACTTCAAATCTCTGCTGAGGGACATCTTGAATATTCATTAATTCCTGTGTAAATAAACATACACAATGTAATAATGTGTGTCAAATATGTAAGTTCCGGGGACAGCCTAACGACTAATTCTTGTTTACAGGGCATCATCTGTGAAATCTCATGAGAAAAATATCCACGTGAAACTTTATGTGAAATATCATCACATATGAAGTGTTCCAAAACCACATGATTTCACATGTGAAATCGTGTGATTTTTCCATAAGGTAGATTTAAAAGACAAATAGCCTCCAGTCTGCTTGAAAAAGTCCTCAAGATTGTTAAGAGCAAACAAGGGCCCAGTTGACACTTCAGTGTACTTTGACCTATGGAATTTTAAAGGACCATTCTAGGGCCAGGTGTTAATGGAAAATGGTAATGTCCTTGAAGAATCCATATTGTTCTGATTAGCATGGCTTCCCATCCTCTCCCTCCTGGTATCATAGGCCAGTAGCTTTAATGAGTGTGTGTGTGTGTGTGTGTGTGTGTATGTGTGTGTATGTGTGTGTGTGTGTGTGTGTGTGTTTGTGTGTTTGTGTGTGTATGTGTGTATGTGTGTATGTGTGTATGTGTGTATGTGTGTGTGTGTGTGTGTGTGTGTGTGTGTGTGTGTGTGTGTGTGTGTGTGTGTGTGTGTGTGTGTGTGTGTGTGTGTGTGTGTGTGTGCGCCTGCCTGGCTAGTATCATGCGTTCCTGTGTGCGTGTGTGAGAGCTCATAAGTGTTTAATAAATTATACAGAGCGTTTGAAGCGCCCTACACCACGGGGCAACATCTGGCGCAGGAGGCTCTCTGGGTCGAGGGCTCTGTCGGGAGGTGGAACACCAACCAAGCGGTGCCACGGTGCCCGCCTCCTCACCCTTCATCTTTCATCCCCAGAGCAGAAATAAAAGGATAAAATTGCTAACAAGACACTAGTCTTTATTACCCTTCAGTACACTGAAAAAAAGAATGGTTCTTAAATGGTTCTTCCTCAGCTCTTAAGGTTCCTTAGAGAACTCTTTCCCAATAAAGAACCTTTGAGTTAAGTGTGGGTTTCTTGACGTGGCATCTACGGTTCTTCAGAATTCTAAAAGTTTCTTGAAATGTATGGAAGTCTGCAGATGTGTCCCTTTCATAGCACACAGCATATTGGCCAGTGTTAACTAGTGTTGATTTTTCAGTGTAGCATTTCTAGTATTGATTCAAGAGTTCATTTAACACTGTAAAGAGTTCAATTAAGACTCAGTGGTGTAAAACAACTCCAGTGTTGGTGTTAAAAACCAGAGTTGAATGAAAACCACGCCCGTCATTATTATATACTGAACCAAAAAATATAAACACAACATGTAAAGTGTTGGTCCCATGTTTCATGAGCTAAAATAAAATATCCCAGAAATGTTCCATACACACAAAAAGCTTCTCTCTCAAATTGCTAAGCAGCTAATTTCGAAGCAGTGTGCTGATGCGTGTATCATTTTATCAGAAGTATGTCATCAATGATGTCCGAAGCTTTGTTTGATCACGTGCTTTTTCAAACCGAGTTGTTGGTTCAGGTTGCTTTCTTCATATTCCAATCTGCTTTCAAACACCAACCTCTACTGGACACCATACTTACAAATATAATTAGGAATTTGTACAAAAGGTTTCACCTGATTGGTAGCTTAGCAGGTAGAATAGGGAACTATGGAACATGCAGGGATGTGAGGGTATGAGGTAAAATTGTGTTAAACAGCATACTTTCTATTTTTATGTGAAACCACACTTTCTGCACTGTTGTTCAAATAATTAGTTGTATTTATAATAGCATAAGCTTCTCTCTTAGGCATCCTAAATAATACCATAAATTCTTTTTTTTTTAAATAGTAAACATGATGTAAGACGCAAACCTGGTATTCCAACTGATTGTAGGCTACTAAAGCCAACGACTTACCACTGCGCCACAGTTTTGATGAAAAACATATTTCTGATAATGACGCGCTGCTATTTATTACTGACCAGCAGATGTCACTAATGTGCATTGTGAACAGGTAATGAAGCTCAGAGTAATTAACTGATTTTCAGTACAATTTGGTGAAAGCGTTCAGAAAGCCTCAGTTTCCCATCAGTAGGTCTGATGTGGCCTGTAAATTATTTGTTTCAGGACACTGTATTAGGGTAAAACTAGACCCTCAAAAGAAGGCCTCATGAAATATGTATTGTCTTAAAGAATTGAATTTGAATGACAACCTATTCACTTACGATCTCACTTGGTGAAGGCCACAGGACTGAACATGAATGAACACAACAACAATGTATGTCACTAGGAAACACAGTCCAGTACTGGTTACTCAAACATTCCCTCGAAAGGCACTCTGGGAAATATGCAAAAAAGGCTTAAAACCCTACAGCAGGGCTATTCAATTCTGGTTCTGCAGGGCCAAAACATTTCTTCAAAGAACCATCCAATTTATGGTTCTTCAAAGACCCTAAAATGGTTCCCCTATGGCATCGCTCTCAAGAACTTTATTAGTCTCCAACTTGCACCTTTTATTTTAAAGAGTGTACACAATGTATTAACTCTACGGTGCCCAAATTAGGAGCGCCTCAGCAGTGGAGAGTCACTTTTACTCTGCTGGTCCTTCAGTCAGTTCATTAGAAAACATTATGCCTGAGATGCAAAAATAAACGTTGCCCAGTTATTGCCAGTGTTGCCATTGGATAAAAGCGTCTGCTAAATGGCATATTATTATTATTATTATATTATATTATGTAAACAGGAATTGAGCTTCAGGCGATGCTGTCTGGCGGAAAAAATGAACTGATTGCAGAAGGAAGAATGCAGAAATTCCTTTGGTAATACTAAATGCACGGTATGCCTACTGGCGTAATATAATGCAATGGTGACACTGTGTGGTATAAGGCTGTATGTCACATGCTGTTACAGCATGGCTATAAAAAATTTAGCAGATCTGACACCTTGTGGCCCGATGGAATACATCATCCTGTTAGATTGTTAAGATATCTGAGTGAGATACAGGCTTTTCTTTGATTCAGGGACATAACATTGAGGTGATCTACGCCACTAGACAACATAAGGGAGTTTGTTTTGTTCCACAATGTTCCTAAGCCGTGGCCTATTCAATGTTGGGTAAGGGTTGACATTACAACAATGACACGACTTGTTCCCAACACAATGACGCGGATTGTCCTTCGATTATGACTTAATGTGGGCTTATGAATGGAGATAGAGGAGGAGTCTCTGCTACGTCCACCCATATCTTTCTCCGTCCATGGGCAGATCTATTTATGATCTGTGGAGATAGCGCCAATAGCAGCAAGACCATCCTGAATATTGTGAACCCTAATGCGTGCTGCGTCCACCTACTCTCCTGTGTGGGAGCAACTGGGAACAATCTGTTGATGACTTTTTCCACAGAATATCCTAGAAGGTCTGTCCTAGAAGGGATTAACAGTATTTCAGGACCACCATCGTTAAGGTAAGCTATTCTATTTCACATACTGTTCATCAGTCTTATTACAGAATAATTTATGAACAATTCACTTCATTGTATTAGGCACAATACATGCATTGTTGTACTGTAATAATGTTAAATAGGGCCATCTGAGACACATTGTGGAACAAAACAAACTACCTAATGTGTTGCAACGGGGTAGAACACAGAAATCTAATGTTTTTGACATAGTGAAATGAGGGTGTATCTGACTAAAATGACGTGTGACTTCTGACTGAAATTACTACTGAAATGACTGTACTGAAATTAGTTTTGTACTTCTATCCTTAGATCTTGAACATGGGAGAGTGCATTTCAGTCCGTGTTTTTCTGATGTTTCTGGCCCTAATAAGCTATCTTATTGCGCTGACATTCAACATATTGGCTCTATTTGGGCCCTGGACAGGTGAATTCTTACAGCCCACTTTAAGTCAATGACATCTGTTTGAAATATCTAAAAACCAATTGCATCCGAAGGAATGTTTTGTAACCTGTGTGTTTGAACATGCAGGTGCTTTCATGCAAACCACACAGTATGTGCTGAGCAAGTCCACAACGCACCTAACCCCGGATAGATGGGTACTCTTTTTATGGGATGTCCTTAACATCTGGTTGATCGGCATGTTCATCTATCTGATACACAATCTCCGTAGAAGGTACGATACTTTCCAATAAAGTTAAACTCTCGATGACACTACAACAATCATGTAAACATTGGTCCTTCAGATAATTTGGTTATTTCTCAACCCAAACCCTGGCTGGAATTAAATCAGCTTTGCACTGGACATTAGCCTGGTCCCAGATCTGTTCCTGCTATCTTGCCAAATCCATGCCAAACATGACAATTCCATAAGGAGGCATCCAGGCTAATTGGCCTCTATTTATTCACCTAGGTGAGACAAAAAAAAAAAAGTGCAGAAAGTGTGATTTTTACTGTCCTGGCTAGGGGTGCAGAATTCCAGTAACTTTCCCAAAATTCCCAGGCCTAGTTCTGGCCCAGATGTTGATGATGATGATGATGATGTTGTTGTTGATTTTCATGATGGTGATGATGATGATGATGATGATGATGATGTTCCTGTTCCTTAGGGAAGCCTATACATGGATGTACACCACTCCTGCTGTCCTGCCCTATGGATTCTACTTGTCCTGGATCGTAAATAGCGTTTTGAATATGGCATGGTTATTTCTGTACGACAAAGAGTAAGTGATGATATTATGTGTATTTACTGTACAATTATATACAACTCTTTAAATGTTTTGAGTTGTTTTGAGTTTCTACATTGAATTCATGGCAAGGAAATCATTTGTATAGCTGTATTTCTCAAGACAAATTACGTTTTCTAGTTTCTGTGTTTGTCATAGAAAGATGGTGCCAACACTCCTGATCACAGCATTACAGGCCATCTCAAACTGCGTGATTATCATGTTCTCCTGCTACGGACTGGTCGTCTATGGAGCGTGGCTCCACAAATATCACAACAATGATCTCTGGCTCATTCGAATACTGGTACAACAACTGTTTTTTCTATGATTCTCCAAGAACTTTGCATTGCGTAACACAAACCTTCCACAAGTGTGACTTTTTGGTACAGAAATGTGCTATCTGTTTATGGTGTCCATATTGTGAAGCCTCAGTTTCAGCAGGACTGAAGCTGTCCTAATACGGACACCGTATTTGTTAACTCTTTTACAGGTGCAAAACGGAGTGGCTTTGTATGCAACATGGTGGGCTGTGGCTACCTTTTTACACTTGACTGTTGTTTTAGACCATCAAACCCCAATACCCAAGACAGATGCTGCCATAATGGTCCTAGTTCTGCTCCAATTGGGACTCATAGGATGGTGAGAGTTTGATCCTACATTTTATCTAACCTCTCAATTCAGTGGTGTTGAATCAATAAACCATACATTTGAGCTTTACCATTAGATTTTCCATTGAACAGTGGATTTACTTAATATACATAAACTATGACAAGACAATGATATAGTGGCCCAAAGTGGCAAAGTAGCTTTTAAAATTGTGTGACAGCTCGTGCACACAAAGCAAGTACCTGCATTGTGTGCATGCTGTAACTACATTTTAAAAGCTAATTTGCCCCTTAGGGCCACCATACAATCACCAGAAACCTTTCCTTCTCTTACCTTTTTTGAAGCATGGGACTTGATGCATTATTGATTTATATTTTCTTCCTCCTTATAACTCTCTCAGGTTTGTCATAGAGAACTGGTACTTGGATAAGCACGTGCGTTACATCCTCACAGTGTATCCTGTGGTGATCCTGGTGTTGGCAGCGAGTGTGGCCAATCCAGCCACGCCCGGTACCCACATAGACATCATGTCTGGTAGGCCCTATGTCTTGACTGACTCCTAAACTGACAACTAGAGGAAGATAACATGTGTAGGGTGTCCATATTTGGACAGCCTGTCCTAATATGGACACCGTACGTATGCATTATTAGTAGATTACCATCGGTAATCTTGTAAAAGTGTTTCATCCTTAACTGCAAATGATACGATTAGATAATGTTATATTTACTGTATGTAAGTATGTAAATATAATGAGAACTGAGTATACTTAAATGCTATTGGCAATGTTTACACTATCTTCACTACTAGACTAGTGTCAATGTTATTCTTGTATCACTGTCTGTAGTCACTGAACTGACTTTCCCATGGCTCTTATGGCTAACATACCTGATGCCTCATCTCCTTTTCAGCTGTCATCTTGGCCATAACCAGTGTCATATTCATTGTACGCATTGTCATGGTGTTATGGAAGCACAAGAACAAACCGTTTTACGGCGAAGAGGAGCTCATGTCTCCAGTGGACATCGCCAGAACACAGAAGCTCATCTTTATGTAGGAAGAAGAGAGCTGTTGCGGATATTCATGTCCCCCTTGTTTGGATGTTGTTTTCCTAAACATTTAATGGCTGAGACGTGATCAAACTCTCCCTGTGTTGGATTCCTAAGGCTTTGCTTCAGCAAGACATGTAGGTGAAGATTTAGGCTAATAGTGCCTTTGTACTGTACAGATTGAGCTCATAACCATTGGCCATGCTAATGTCTTTCGAAATCATATCAATTACTGTGTGTGATATAAAACTATGAACCGGAATTCTCTCATGACCGCAATGCTAATTCAATGACATGAATGTGAATTTTAGATTTTTTTCTATTAATCTTGAACTACCACCATATTGTTTTATACCATGATATGATCTACGTTTGTGTTTTGACGTTTTCCTTTAGGTGCATTCATGTATGAATGGAGCAATAGAAATAAAGTATATAATTATACATGTTAATGTACTTATCTGTAAATGTTATTGTGATTTAACGATAGTAAATATGACAGTGTACAACTGTGCAATTGTAGGAGCACCCATTCGTTAGACACCTTGGGGAAAAAGAACCAAACACACACACAAATTATGTACACACACACACACACACACACACACACACTAATCCTATTATGCGACAGTAAACCATGATACACTGACTGAAACAGTGCCATTAGCCAAAGTCCAATGCAACCGATCCCAGACAGTGTGTGTATAAAAGTGTGTGAGGCGAGCTGTCTACAGTTGATAGCTCGACAGGGAGCATGTACCGCTCCCATGTGTCTCTGTATACCCAGGGCCAGGGCAGTATGGAGGGACGTCTTCACCATGTGGTCCTGCACGGTGTGTGTATCACTCTGGCCATGGTTAGCCAGGTGTTCTCCGAGACCTTCCATGTTCTAGCATCAGGGACCAACTCTGGTGGTGAGTGAAATCTACCAGAATGCTGGTCCAGCTCTGTACTACAGTGCACTACTGTGAAGGCAACAGGGACTGTGGGTTAGCAGACAATCTGGATAAACAAGTACAGTGGCTAGTGGATGTATCCTGAATGCAATGATATGATTATAATGCCACCATTTGCAGAGTCAAGTTTATAGAGTTAAAGGCTTGATGTGGTCATTGCGTGCTAGGAACATGGGACCAAATACTAAACTTTTGACTACTTTTTTAATACACATTTTTAGGGGTGACAATCATTTTGACCTCTACCTTTTTGAGGGGGAAAATTATTACTTATTAAACAAAATCTATTTCTCTGAGCTATTGTATTAGTATAAAATAATTTAATTTCCCAATTATTTTAGCATACAATATAGCTCAGTATCTGAATTATTTATTTTATACAGTCATTATTGCTAATCTTTATCAAGGGTGTCAATAATTTCGGACCCCACTGTATAAATTATAACTTTGTCACTTTGTCATATTTAATGACTATTTTACCCAATATGACCTGTAAGTGATATCTCCTGCAGGGATGTTTCAAATGCATATACAGTATGTCACCAAAAGGATCCCTTTGAGAAGATAAGTTGTTATAACAACTTGTTTCACATCAATGTATCCACAGTGGATTGACTTTATGTAACGATAGACCTTTGGTCTGCCACGCATTCCAAATGTCACATTTTTACAGCCCAGCAATGAAGAGAAGCCAGTGATTGTATGTTTAACTCACCAACTACATTACATAAGCAGATGAGTTGATAAAAGCACTTTCCAGAAACTTATGAAAGGAAATTTTGATGACTGGAGGTAACGCTACCACTGAGTTTTCAAACCCAGAGACACAACATCGTGATACTACCGGGAATGTGTTGCGAAGGAGACTCGACAGACCAGACTGGGGTTTGGGGTTTGGCAAGTCAATGGGAGAAGTGAAAAATTCATCCTTAGTTGTTAATTTTCTCCAATTCTAAAGGCAAAACCTGTATTTAGCCAATGTCTTAAGTAGCTGAACCTGTCATTACTACAACCTTGTGAAAGTGAAAAACGTTTCATTTTTGTCAAAAACAACTTTGTATCGAAGGAGTGCCTCTCATTTGACGGCCTGCACATGCGCAGTTCTGCGCAACACAACCGTTAGACCTGGTGACGTGTTTCTGTGCATGAGCTATTCTAGCTAACACCACCATGACATCACCTATAACTGTGATCAGGGATTTCTATTGGAGAAGCAGTTTCTGCACATCTTCATACTGTACTGTCTTTGATGTTACTGCTCATACTGATGTATTCTTCATCTCGCTGGTTTACGGTGTCCATATTAGGACACCATACTCGTGAATGCTGTGGATCTGTACCTATGCTAGGTGGCAACCACTAAAGTATTTCCATTGCCAATAGGATAGGCTGGCTTGTTATTCACAATACAGCTTCATCTTCACATAGCCTATACTGGTATTACATTGCAACACTATACTTACTGTTAGACACAGTAAGTGTATGGTGTCCATATTAGGACAGCCTCATTATGGATTATAGAGCTCGCTAGTTTGTAGTCCTAAAAAACAGAAATGAGTTACCTCTGGTTCGTTTAGCCATTCCTATGGGGGAAATTAATGAAGAAACTATGGGGTTTTGGGATAAACGCCGGAAATAAGATCTGAGGTTAACACAGGCTTAGGAGATCTTATATGTTTTGTTCTATGAGATAATATCAGTGTCACGAATGTCTGTGGAATGCGGTAGGCCAGAGTCAAGCGCAGGACACAGAATGAAATGAAGATCCACTTTACTGAATAGTAAAGAAATACAAGCAAAACCTCCACACACAGGGAGGAGCAAACCCGCTCACAAATGACACTCGCACAAGCAACAAACACGCACACCACACAGTGGACGTGAACAGGTTAAATAGGGAAGACCAAAATAACATAATAGGGAACAGGTGTGCAACAACAGACAACAACCAGGTGAACATAGAAACATAGAACATAGATCGGCAGCAGCTAGTATTCCGGTGACGACGAACGCCGAAGCCTGCCCGAACCAGAAGGAAGGGCAGTCTCGGCAGAATCCATGACAATCAGTCAGTTAACATGACCTTTATGAATTCTGAAGCCTTTATGTGCTTGTTTTTATTTGAAAAAAAATAAAAAATTCACACAAAAAGACATTAGCTGATGAAGATTATCTCAAAGAACAAAACACATAGGATCTCCTAAGCCTGTGTTTACAACAAAAAAAACATTGGAGGCCATGGAGGAGTCAATGCCTACAAAAAGACGCCATTACTATTGCTCTCTATAGAGTCCCTTTACCAAACATGCAATGGCTTTATTCCCTAGGTCTGTTTAGGACCACAATGGATAATGTCTCGGAGTCCTTTCCTCTGGAGGTGACCATGGACTGCTGGGCAGACAACACCTGGATCATGCTCCGGATATGGAGCAGTGCTTGGCTCATACACTCTCTCTTTACTGTGTTCCAGAGGTATCACACACACACACACTCTCTCGCTCTCTCTTGCTCTCGCTCTTGCTTTCTTTCTCTCTCGCTCTCTCTCTTTCTCTCTTTCTCTCTCTCTCGCTCTCTCTCTCTCTCTCTCCTGTCCTCTCTCTCTCTCTCCTCTCTCTTTCTCTCTCTCTCTCTCTCTCTCTCTCTCTCTCTCTCTCTCTCTCTCTCTCTCTCTCTCTCTCTCTCTCTCTCTCTCACCCCCCACTCTTCCAAAGGTTAGCTGAATGCCTAAGTGATGAAAATTAAATGATGAGGAAGTACAGCATGTGTGATTTATATCATTCAGTTGTGATTGATGTTCTCTGCATGAAAGGAATGTGTTTGGACCAGTCTCCTGCAACCCTGAGATTCACCCTCCGTCATTCTATCTGATCTGGACTGTGATCAACGTAGCAAAGATCACTTGGCTGTTTCTCTGGGACAGGCAGTAAGTGGTTTGGCACTTTTTACATTTAAATGGGAAGTTTTAAAAACGTACTGTTAGATGGTTCCTCATCCTGAAAGTAGTCTATGGGCCAGGATAAACTCTAATCCATGGCTTAATTTATTTAAACAGCCACTACAAACTTCAGCTAACTTTGGTAGTTGCTGTTTAAAGACAACCTAACCGTGGATTACAGTTTTTCCTGGCCGATAGACTACTTTCAGGGTGAGGAACCCTCTAACGTTCAATTTTAAAGGCCCAGTGCAGCCAAAACGTGATTTTCCTGTGTTTTGTATATATTTCCACACTATGAGGTTTGAATGATACTGTGAAATTGTTTAAATGATGATAATACCCTTTTAGTTTAAGAGCTGTTTGAAAAGACCACCTGAAACTTCTGACTGTTTAGGTGGGATGGAGTTGTGGCCTGCCTGGTGACATCACCAAGCGGTAAATTAGAAAACAGACCAATAAGAAAGAGAGATCCAAACGTCTCTGCCAATAACAGCTATTTTTCAGTTTCCCCTCCCCACTCAGACCACTCCCAGACAGTCTTATCAACATTTTTGCTTGAGAAATTGCTCTATTTTTTGACCATTTTAATTGAAAACAATCAAAGTAAGGTACTTAATTGTTGCCCAGAAATTATTAGATATTGAGATGAAAACGGCTGCATTGGAACTTTCGAATACTAAACTTCCCCATTAAGATACAAATTTTTGGATTTTGCAATATGACAAAAGAAATACAGTGAGCCTATTTGCAGAACCAAGTAAGACAATGCTAAAATATGGAACATCCTTTGTGTTTTTACAGTGACCTTCTACCATCCCTGTTTTTTAAATGGGTTATGCCAGTTCACAGCTTCCAAATGCTGTATGTGTCCTACCGAAACCTGCACAATCACAGAGCCTGGCTGGCCATCAATAACCCTAAAGAACCCTGGTGGACCCGCTATCTGGTGAATTCAAGATCTTATCTACATATTGATGTCAAGATGTAGCACAGTTGCTTGTTTTTATCATGCTGCTGTTAGTCAATGAGCTTCAGGGCAAAATGACCTTATGTAACCAAGTTGAATTGGTTAAACTTACTCTTTAGCATGATGTCAATTCAACGTCGATTCCATGTTGGTTTAACGTAATTTCATTGAAATTTCATTGAAATGATGTGGAAACAACGATGATTCAAACAGTGTGTGCCCAGTGGGATGTGGAGTGTATTCAGAAAGTATTCAAACCCCTTGACTTTTTTCACATTTTGTTACGTTACAGCCTTATTCTAAAATGGATTTCAAAAACTATATCGTCATCAATCTGCAAACAATAGCACATAATGACAAAGCAAAAACATGTTTTTGAAATGTTTGCACATTTATTAAAAACAAAAACTGAAATATGACATTTACATAAGTATTCAGACACTTTACTCAGTACTTTGTTGAAGCACCTTTGGCAGGGATTAAAGCCTTGAGTCTTCTTGGGTATGACGTTACAAGCTTGGCAAACCTGTTTTTGGGGAGTTTCTCCCATTCTTCTCTACAAATCCTCTCAAGCTCAGTTAGGTTGGATGGGGAGTGTCGCTGAAAAGCTATTTTCAGGTCTCTCCAGAGATGTTCGATTGGGTTCAAGTCTGGGCTCTGGCTGGGCCACTCAAGGACATTCAGAGATGTCCCAAAGCCTGTTGGAAGGTGAATCTTCGCCCCAGTCTGATGTCCTGAGCTCTCTGGAGCAGGTTTTCATCAAGGATCTCTCTGTACTTTGCTCCGTTCATCTTTCCCTCAATCCTAACTAGTCTCCCAGTCCCTGACGCTGAAAAACATTGCCACAGCATGATGCTGCCTCCACCATGCTTCACCGCAGGGATGGTGCCAGGTTTCCTCCAGACGGGACGCTTGGCATTCAGGCCAAAGAGTTCAATCTTGGTTTCATCAGACCAGAGTATCTTGTTTCTGATGGTCAGGGTCCTTTAGGTGCCTTTTGGCAAACTCCAAGCGGGCTGTCATGTGCCTTTTACTGAGGAATGGCTTCCGTCTGGCCACTCTACCATAAAGGCTCATTGGTGGAGTCCTGCAGAGATGGGTTTTTTTCTTCTGGAAGGTTCTCCCATCTCCACAGAGGAACTCTGGAGCTCTGTCAGAGTGACCATTGGGTTCTTGGTCATCTCCCTGACCAAGGCTCTTCTCCCTGATTGCTCAGTTTGGCTGGGCAGACAGCTCTAGGAAGAGTCTTGGTGGTTCCAAACTTCTTCCATTTAAGAATGATGTAGGCCACTGTGTTCTTGGGGACCTTCAATCCTGCAATAATTTTTTGGTAACCTTCCCCAGATCTGTGCCTCGACACAATCCCGTCTCAGAGGTCTGCGGACAATTCCTTCAACCTCATGGCTTGGTTTTTGCTCTGACATGCACTGTCAACTGCGGGACCTTATATAAACAGGTGTGTGCCTTTCCAAATCATGTCGAATCAATTCAATTTACCACTGGTGGACTCCAATCAAGTTGTAGAAATATCTCAAGGATGATCAATGGAAACAGGATGCACCTGAGCTCAATTTCGAATCTCATAGCAAAGGGTCTGAATACTTATGCAAATAAGGTATTTCTGTTTTTTATTTGTAATACATTTGCTAAAATCCCAAAAAATCTGTTTCCTCTTTTGTCATTATGGGGTATTGTGTGTAGATTGATGAGGGAGAAATTTTATTTAATCAATTTTAGAATAATGCTGTAACCTAACAAAATCTGGAAAAGGGGAAGGGGTCTGAATACTTTTGACTGGTACTGAATGTGCACCAAATTTGTGAGAAATGTGCTTTTATTGCATTTGGAACACTTCTGGGATCTTTTATTTCAGCTCATGAAAGATGGGATCACCACTTTACATTTGGTGTTCATATTTTTTGTTCAGTATAAATACGACTAAATAATAACTGGTTCTTATACATCAGCGGTAGAGCATGGGAGTAAAACCAAAGATAAGGTGCAACAACAATCCTTTATTTTCTGCTTTTTGTAGTTCACAAATGCACAATAATCCGTTTCAATTAGAGCTCAAATGTTGTACTACAGACAGTGATTGCGTTTCTAGTTGTTGACAATATAAATGTGTTTCAATCAAAACAAGACAGTGTTGCAACACTTACAGGAAGACATGGCCAGGGAGATGGAGAACGGTTCTAGGTGGACTAAGGGCAGTGCCATAACACACATTTTACAATTGATTATACTTACTTTTGAATAAAAACCACCACCACTCCCATCCTTCCAGAGCATGCCAATCATCTGACAGCCAACCATTTATACTAGACGCCACGCCGTTAATAAAGAATAAGGAACACCTGTGCTAACAGGCCATGAGGCTTCATTCAAGAGCTCATGCCTGTTACATATTTACCCCCCAAAGTTTTTAGATGTTTCCTCACATTTCAAGACACAAATACAAAAAAGAAGACAAGGCAAATAAAGAATATAAAGGTCAAAAAAACATTCAAAATATCATCTAAATAAAGAATAAATGTATTGACCAAATAGGCCTAATGAAAAAGCACACTTTGAAAAGCAAAATACTGCAAACCAATACTTAAATAAAATAATACTGGAGGACCATGCGGTCGTAGAAGGGAACTGAGTCATCTTTTCTTCGACATTTCAGACCGCCTCATCACACCATTGCCAGTATGTTCGCTAAGGGGACTGTCATAATGCTCCAAAACACCATTTTGCAACACATGAACTTGGACACACATACTGGCAATGGTGTGCGAGATACAGAGGTGGTTGGTTTCACGGGACTGCTTACACACTACAGCATAACCGCACGGCAGAAATACTGAACTCGGCCCCTCTACGCGCAACGACGTAGGCAGCCATGACACTCGGTGCCAGAATGCCCTCTTATGCCGCATTCAAAACAACTGGGAACTCAGAAAACAACGAGCTCCAACTGGAAAAATAGTTTAGAGCGGTCATCCAACTTGGAATTCCAACTTCGAGAACTCCGACTTACGAGAGCTCCGCCTTTCAGACCTGAAGATTACTGACATCATGATTTGACCTTGTATTTTTCAGAGTTCCCAGTTGTATTGAACACACCATAAGTATCACCTCCGACTTCCCTTAAGGAAGTGGCACCATTCACAAAATCTCACACACTCGCATCCAGCCGCTAAGCCGCGCAATGGGACGGCAGTGGAAAACCCAGCCATTATGGCCACCCAGTGCCCCTCCTCAGCGCACCTCCGTCCCCAAACCCATATTCACATGGCACACAAGGCATTAGAGCCTCCACTAAAAACAAGGCCAACCAGGGCCACATCACAAATCTAAATGCACCAATACACATTCTAAAAACAGATCCCTTACCAATGAATACTATGTCTTGTTTCATATGTCTTTATCATGGTCCCTCTGATCTAACTGTGTTGATGTGTTGATGTTTTGTGGGGCAGACCCAGAACGGACTGGCTGTATTTGGCTGGTGGACACTCCTGGAGGCCCTGGTCAGTCTGGGAGTTGTGCTGAGGTACCAGGCTGGGCTACCTGATCCTCTGGTCAGCTCAATGGTGCTCACCCTACTTCTCCTGGGGATGCTCATCTGGTAATGACTGACAATAAAATAATGATGGGCCCATACATATAGATCCTAATCATTGATTGAATGGAAAGATTATAATTGTGGTGTCCATATTAGACAGTCTCTCCTGCTGAGACTGAGGCTGTCCTAATATGGACACCGTACTGACTAAATGGGTACACTATACTGGGAAGTTGGGATTTAATTCAGTCTTGAAAACAATGCTATTTCCTAACAGGTTTGTCTTTGAGAGCTTCATATTCTCCAAGTACATCCGCTACACGTTTACTGTCTACCCTGTGTTGATTGTGGGCCTGGGAGCCATGTTCACCAGAGGCTATCGTGTCCATGACCTCGCACCTAACACAGTATACTGTGGTAAGAACATAGAGTTGGATAGAGGGCACACTTGGCCCAAAGCCTGTTTTATCATGTGCAGTGCCATTGAGGGCTTTCACCATTTTGAAGTAGTCAACTAGGTGGGACTTGCTATGGGTTAAGGTAGATCACATAATTCAATCCAGGTCAGCAGGAATTATACTCCTGAGAAAACATTCCCTAAGTCGCTCTGCTAAATTTCTAAAATGTAACTGTAAAATCAGGTGGCAGTAAATCATCAACCTTGGCTTTAAACCTGTTCAGACTATGCACATTGCAAAGATAGGATATGAGCTCTCTAGTACATCTCTATGGAATGAACACATACTGGAGTAATACCAACCACTCACACCCACATTCTGTAACAGATCGATTTTAATGTAGGCAGATGCTGGCCAATGATAACATGATTTTAGAGGCACATTATATATGCTGTAATTGGAACAGTGCTAAGCTGATGCTGCAGGCCAGTCATAATTGAATACCAGAAAAACCTTGTAGACAATTTTGTATAATCTGATGAATAACAGTTACGTAACACTTACATTACACTTGATTTTGTATTTCTTGTCCCAACCACACAGGGTTCCTAATGCTGGCAGCAACGGTCCTGAACTGTGTCCGTTTGATTACTACATGCTTTTACCCAGATGACACATCCAAGTATTTGACCAAGGAGCCCAACCATAAACCTGACTTCTGCAAGACTGTATGCCAACCAATGGGAAAGGACAGCACAATGGCTTCACAAACTGGCTTCGTGAATCCTGTCTTCTGTAATAACTTAGACAATTAGCAGAGGGTACGGTGTCCATATTAGAACAGAAACAACTCCTGTTGAGGCTGAGGCTGTCCTAATATGAACACTGTACTACTGATTTACCCAAAGTGAATTGTTTTGCATGTTAATAGTTTTGCTACTGATTAATGGTATTTTCTGTAAAAATGGACATTGTGCTCTTGGTGATGAGTAGCTACAGCCTGAGTTAACTCTAAGCTTAGAGTGTTGACATGCCTCCACATTCATCAGTAACAAATTGATTCCTGAATACCGAACAGTCCCTTAACAATTCAGAATGTTGAATAAACTTTATTTGAACTTACTTTACCGGTTTCCACTGAGTTCGTCCTTATGTCATTGGAAATTTGATGATTTGATGATTCCCAACCAAATTTACTGAGCTTGAGCAATTTTGACAAAAACATTTTTTCTATTTCTAATACTCGTTTCAATGTGTCACTTATGGGATATGCCTTAGTGTGGATCACAACCTCGAAATATCCAATCACACAGGTCAAGTGGCTAATAAGGTAAGCACCTCTCCTCCAGAAAGGGAGCAACTCGCCCACCAACTGGTCATTCTCACCTCTCTTCCTTGCGGAAGTGACTGCGTTCATAAAAGCATTCCTCAGCATGACTAGATTCCTGGCTTCCTACTGATGTTTAGAGGTCAATGCTGCCGAACATAGGACTTCAGCTCCTGTCGATAGTGTTGAAAGGAAAGTTTTGCTTTGAGAATAATAATTTCTCAACTCGTCAGTCTCCATTTAGCTAGCGCCACACAGCTAGCTATCGAGACTTGGTTAGCCCTTGCCGCAAGGCTTTAGCTAACTTTGCTAGTTAGCTGCAAGGCTAGCTTACCACAGAATGGACTAGCTCTAGCCGCAAGGCTTAAGCTAACCTGTGTAACTCGCAAGGATAGCTACACCAAACTAACTTTTCTACCTACACAGGTAGAATTGCTAGCTTTCCTTTCGCGTTTAGCACAAGCCACTCACGGGCCATGTTGAAAACCACCTGTTTTCAACTGTGTTTTAGATTCAACAGCGAGGGGCGTCTCGGCTCGCATACTAGAACAGAAAATCTGCTCTCTATTAAGAAAAGGTGGATATCAGAACAACACCAATGGCAGAGAGCCATCAAGGCTTCTACTCCCAGTACGTCCTGGTTCCCAGGGGGGCATTGCATACACCCCATTCTGGACCTAAGGATCCGTATTGGGAGTAGAAGCCTTGATGGCTTTCTTCATGTTCCGTATGCTTACATACAACGTGCTGTTTCGTTTTATTCGTCAAGGCGACTGGTTCAGTTCATTCGACCTACAGGGCGCTTATTTTCATATAAGCATTCTGCCAGCACACAGGAAGTTTTCAGGTTTGCCTTTCAAGGCCCAGCCTACAAATACCTTGCTGTTCTCTTCAGGCTAGCAACTGCTACCCGTTTGTTCAGCAAGTTTGTGGAGGCAGCACCCCTGAGAACCAGGGGGCTAAGAGTCTCCGCCTACACAGACTATTACCAGCTTTGATCCCCTACACAGGAGCAAGGGGTACGAGACAAGGCTTTCCTCTCTGGCACTCGCTCTCTGCATCTACACAGACTAACTATCAAGATTATAGTGTGCACTTTCACTACACGCAACTCACGTCCCAGGCATATTGAATGTGGGAGCGGACTTGTTGTCCAGAGGGAATCCCCTATACGGATGGAGATATTGGGGACTCCATCCCCAGGTGGTGAACCAGATCTCGCCACAATAGATCTATGTAGGTCTAGCCACCCGTTGTTCTTTGCGATAGCAGATGTGCACCGCTGGGACTGGACGCACTGGCACACCCTTGACCAAGGGTAATGCTCTATGCATTTTCTCCACTAAGCTTGATTCTCCCCACTCTGAATAGAGTGAGGAAACAAGGATTATCCCTCATCTCGGTAGTCCCTCTATGGCCAGGCAGGCTCTGGTTAGCGGAGATCATTCTCCTGCTTTACGACGAGCAACTACCATTACGCAGGGATCTTTTGAGCCAGGCGAACAGAGATATTTTCCACCATCACCCGGAAACCGTGTTGGAAAAAGTACCCAGTTGTCATACTTGAGTAAAAGTTAAGATACCTTCATAGAAAATGACTCAAGTAAAAGTGAAAGTCACCCAGTAAAATTCTACTTGAGTAAAAGTCTAAAAGTATTTGGCTATAAAATACTTAAGTATCATAAGTAAATGTAATTGCTAAAATATACTTAAGTATCAAAAGTAAAACTAAAAGTATACATCATTTCAAATTCCTTATATTAAGTATACCAGATGGCACCGTTTTCTTGTTTTTTAAATTTACGGATAGCCAGGGGCACGCTCCAATACTCAGACATAATTTACAAACGAAGCATGTGTTTAGTGAATCCGCCAGATCAGAGGCAGTATGGATGACCAGGGATGTTCTCTTGATAAGTGTGTGAATGACACCATTTTCCTGTCCTGCTAAGCATTCAAAATGTAACGAGTACTTTTGGGTGTCAGTGAAAATGTATGGAGTAAAAAGTACATAATTTTCTTTGGGACTGTAGTGAAGTAAAAGTAAAAGTTGTCAAAAATATAAATAGTAAAGTAAAGTACAGATACCCCCAAAAACAACTTAAGTAGTACTTTCAAGTATTTTTCCTTAAGTACTTCACACCGCTGCCCCTCTGGGCCTGGCCCGTGAGAGGATAAATATGAATGTGACAGACTTGCCTCTCGGTGTCATTGAGACTATCCAGAGTGCAAGAGCCCCTTCTACATGCTCACTGTACGGAAACAAGCGGTGCGTATTTGAGAAGTGGTGTAACCGAAAACAGATGATTCCTTACCAATCTCACAATCATAGTAAGTAAAAATATTATTTTACAGTTACCAAAAATGTTGATGTAGTTAAGCGGGCTACTTGCAACTTTATTTTTTTGTATTAGTTTGAGTTTGAGTTTGAGTTTATTTTATTTTTACAGGGATTTTACGTTTCAGTAAAAGTGCCGGTTTTAGCCAGCCGGCTAATTTTCAACCGCAGTCCCTGGGCAGGTTATTAAAAACAATTACGATATAGACAATAACAACATAGAACAAGACATAGCATACAGACATAGCAACATAGGACAAGCAAGACGTAGCATACAGACAGAGCAACAAAGAACAAAAAGCAGCAAGACAAAATTCATAAAAGCAACAAAGTGTTTCCACACCTCACAAGTTACAGACAACAGACATGGAAAGCGGCAACACACAGCTAGGGACCATGTTCACAAATCTGATTGACCTTTAGCCATGTCTTCAAGCATTTTGTGAAAGTGTGATATGTGGTGCAGTTATGTGTGTCTGATGGCATTGTATTCCAGACATGGGAAGCTCTCACAGAAAAAGCGGATTTACTAAAGGTGCTTTTCCTTAGGGGAACTACACAGTCACCTCTCATGGCAGACCTTGTGGATCTGCTGCCATATGTTTGGGTTTTCTGTTTAACAAAAATACTGAGTGGAGGGGGAGCCAAGCCATTTAGGATCTTGAATACAAGACATGCATCGGTGTATTGCACAAGATTTTCCCAACTCAGGAGCTCATGCTTTCTAAGGATATGACAGTGATGATGGCTATTGGGCTTCCTATCAAGCACTTTGAGAGCCTGTTTGTAGACAGACTGAATAGGTCTTACTGTTGTACAGCAAGCTTGGGCCCAACTAGTCAAGCAGTATGTTAAGTGGGGGAGTATCATAGATTTGAAGTACAGTTTTGCTACCTCTGTAGTCAAACAATTTCGTATAAATCGGAAATTAGCTAGGTTGAATTTGGTTATTTAAATTACCTTTTTCACATGCTTTTTAAAAGAGAGGTTGGAATCAAGTATGATGCCAAGGTACTTAAAATCAGATACCCCCTGGAGCTTATCCCCTGACACATAGACTTCTGGCTCAGTAGCATCTGTTGCCCTCTTTGTGAAGAACATGCAAACAGTTTTTTTCACATTGAGATGCAAACACGAGTCACTGAGCCACTTTGTAACCTGGACCATTACAGTAGTGAGTTCTTGTGCAGCTTGTTGTTTGCTCTTTGCATGCACATATATCACTGTATCATCTGCATACATTTGAACTTCAGACCCAGTACAGACAGAAGGCAGATCATTAATGTACAGGAGGGGCCCCAGTATTGACCCTTGGGGCACACCCACATCATAGCTAAGAGTGGGTGACAGCTCATTGCTCACTCTGACACACTGAGTTCTACCTTCAAGGTATGATTTCATCCATCTCAAGGCATCGGGGGAAAAGTTGAACTTGGACAATTTTGTGATGAGAATCTCATGGTTAACAGTATCAAAAGCCTTCCTTAGGTCCAGAAACACAGCCCCAACAACACCCCCTTTGTCCATCTTGGACTTCACATTTTCCAGAAGAAAGCAGTTGGCCATTTCTGTGGAGTGTTTCGCTCTGAAGCCAAACTGCATGGAATGTAATGTGAAGGGGCTGTTGTTGAGGTGGGCAATCAGTTGTTCTGCTACACACTTTTCAACAACCTTTGACACCACAGGTAGTATACTAATGGGCCTGTAGTTACTCACGTCAGCAGGGTCGCCTGATTTAAAGATGGCCGTTATTATGGCCGACTTCCATACCCTTGGAAACACCCCGAGACCAATAGATGTGTTGGTGACCTTAGTAATGGGGCCAATGAGTGACTCTTTGTAGTTTTTAAGAAAGGTAGAGTCCATCCCAAACACATCTTTGGCTTTAGAGTTCTTTAGTGAGCTAATCACCTTGTCTACCTTTGACTCAGAAACCTCCCTTATGATGAAGACAGGTTGAGCATCATTTACTAGCACTGAGCCCAAGAAACCAGTGGAGGGGTTTTGTGTCAGTACCCTGACATAGTCAATAAAGTAGGAATTGAAGGCTATTGCTATTTCGACTGCATCCTGTGTTAGATTGTTATTCACCATGATTTCTAGTCTTTTTGCAGTGTTACTATGGTCTTTCCCTGTTCACTTTTTTAGATTCTCCCAGATCAGTTTAGAATTTCCCTTTGCTTCACCAATTATGTTAATAAAAAAGTTTGCCTTGGCCTGTCTTATTTCTTTCATCACCTTATTTCTCAACATGGTAAACCTACGTCTGTCATGCTCTAATTTGGATCTTAGGGCTATTTTTAGATAATAATCTCGTTCTTTCATCAATTTCCAGATTTCTCCATTTAGCCAAGGAAGAGTGCTCTTTTGGCCAGGTTTGGATTTGATTTTCTTTAGGAAACCATTTAATGTAGTCTGGATTGTGGATAGAAAAACTTGACTATCAGCTTCCACGTCTGCATAGGACAAGAGATCATTCCAGTTAATTCCCTTAATTGCATTTTCAAAATAGCTTAATTCACTCTTAGGTATTCTTAGTTGATCAGGCTTTCTAACAGTAGAGAGGTTAAACCTGCTCTTAGACAGCTTTCTGGCTATAAGTGTCAGATTATGATCAGATAGCCCAGTAACCATATTGAATGATTTAGTCACTCTCTCTGGTTTATTACTGAACACCAAATCAATCTGTGTTTTAGAGCAACAAGTCACCCTGGTTGGCCCTTTAACTAGCTGTGTAAGGTCAAAGGTATTAGTGATCCGTTTGAGGGTTTTCCTACAACACTTGTCTTCATAATTAATGTTAAAATCTCCCATTAAGATGACCTCTTTCCCAAAATCACATTCCCTAAGCATGTTTTTAAACTGATCAAAAAACACACTTTTGGTGGAAGGTGGCCTATACATTCCAATGAGGGTAAAAGACATTTGGGGAGACAGTGTAATGTTCAGGCCAATACATTCTAGTTCATTATCACATGACCACTCAATTTGTTTACATCGGATATGTTCTTTAACATAAATCATCACACCCCCTCCTCTTCCTTCAGTCCTGTCTCTCCTGAAAACACTTTATTAGAAAATACTAAATAGATGTATTCTAACTAAAGTGTTACAAAATACATTAATTGTACTTCAGGCCAGTGAAACACAAAATACTGCCCATCATTGGCACTAGATGCATGCACTGTACATCTGCAACAGTTTACTAACCACTGTGCTTCCAGTAATGCACTGTAAATTCTAGAAATACAGCATGATGCTGTAGTCAGGTGTTACAGTAATATGCTGTAAATTTGTGTTTCAGTAAAGGTCCTGTAAATCTACAGTCATTTAGTGGCTTCTATGCTGCCAGTATTTTACTGTAAATTGACAGCAACCTACTGGCTACTGTGCTGCCAGTAATTAACTTAAAAAATTACAGGATTTTTTTTACAGTGTATCATATTGGAGTAGTACAATGCATACATTTGCTTTGGCAGTACAATGGTGAATACGTGCTGTAACTTTAGCTTTGTTGCTCATTAAACTGAGCCTGTCGTCCATGCCTCCTTCTCGCACGTCCTCGTTGCAACCACATCCCCCATCATGCATTTCTGTAAGGAGAGGACAGGTGTAGTAGGAGAGGAGAGAGTGTGTTAGGTCAGAGTTATTTCAAGAATACACATCCCAGCATATATTTTAGGTTAGAGAGCGATAAAACACTTGTTCAGTCAAAAATGCACAAAGTGCCACATGTAAAATGGTTGAGCCTACTATCAAGTGTGTCTAAACTTTCCCAATAAGTTTTATTGACAACATTTTAACTTTATGGGGGGAAAGGTTTAGGAAAATCACTTTCTAATATTATAAAATATTTTACAATAATCTGTCGAGTTCAGAAGTTTTTTACAAATAAACAAACACTACAAAACAAGCCATTTCAGGAACTTGTAAGGTATTAGTTATTTACTTTTTTTTTTTTTTTTTACGATTCCTTACAACTATCAACTTTCCATCACTAGTCACCTCTCTCTCTAATGTTGTCTATTTGCCGTCCTAGTTCTGTTTTTGCACAATTCTCAAAGTAAAAACGATCTGAAGATTAAAGGAAAAAATGTTAGATATTTCCAATGACTCATTCATCCAAGTCAACTGACCTTCACACACATATTTTTATCCCAACCAACCATTGTTTTTCTGTTGTCAGCGGTTGTTTCCTCGAAAGTGTCATTGAGTTTGAATTTCATCTCAATAATTTTGAAAGTGCTCTGGGATTTTACAAAGATCATTCGAAGACTGGGCTTGATGGGGTTTCCCACCTGTCGGGTCGCGAAGCCAACACCTGCACAATAGAGAACAAACTGTCAAGAGGGATCTATTGGCAGTATGGTGTGGTGCAACCAAAAGCATTGTCCATGTGTAATAACTATAGATATAAATGATTAGCCTAATGAGATCATAAGATGGTATCAGAAATATATATACAAAATATAAAAAATGCATAATTACATCCATTCCTATCATTATATTTGACAAATATGTCATAACAGAACTTTTATGTACTCAAAGTCAAAGTTCTCGCTGGAAATCAATTTCCAGGTCCCCACAAACTTGTCAGCCATCTTTCAAGTTAACTTTAATATCTGCTAAATGACTAAAATGTAAATGTAAATATCCCCAACAGTGGGTCAACAAGCATGATAACTTTATCCTATCCCAGGTATTCCTTAAAGGTGGTGAGTGACTCCGCTGTCCTGGCGTCGTGAGGGAGCTTGTTCCACCATTGGGGTGCCAGAGCAGCGAACAGTTTTGACTGGGCTGAGCGGGAACTGTGCTTCCGCAGAGGTAGGGGGGCCAGCAGGCCAGAGGTGGATGAACGCAATGCCCTCGTTTGGGTGTAGGGACTGATCAGAGCCTGAAGGTACGGAGGTGCCGTTTCCCTCACAGCTCCGTAGGCAAGCACCATGGTCTTGTAGCAGATGCGAGCTTCAACTGGAAGCCAGTGGAGTGTGCGGAGGAGCGGGGTGACGTGAGAGAACTTGGGAAGGTTGAACACCAGACAGGCTGCGGCATTCTGGATGAGTTGTAGGGGTTTAATGGCACAGGCAGGGAGCCCAGCCAACAGCGAGTTGCAGTAATCCAGACGGGAGATGACAAGTGCCTGGATTAGGACCTGTGCCGCTTCCTGTGTAAGGCAGGGTCGTACTCTCCGAATGTTGTAGAGCATGAACCTACAGGATCGGGTCACCACCTTGATGTTAGCGGAGAACGACAGGGTGTTGTCCAGGGTCACGCCAAGGCTCTTTGCACTCTGGGAGGAGGACACAATGGAGTTGTCAACCGTGATGGCGAGATCATGGAACGGGCAGTCCTTCCCCGGGAGGAAGAGCAGCTCCGTCTTGCCAAGGTTCAGCTTGAGGTGGTGATCAGTCATCCACACTGATATGTCTGCCAGACATGCAGAGATGCGATTCAGAAGGGGGAAAGGAGAAGATTAGTTGTGTGTCGTCTGCGTAGCAATGATAGGAGAGGCCATGTGAGGATATGACAGAGCCAAGAGACTTGTTGTATAGCGAGAATAGGAGAGGGCCTAGAACTGAGCCCTGGGGGACACCAGTGGTGAGAGCACGTGGTGCGGAGACAGCTTTTCGCCACGCCACTTGGTAGGAGCGACCGGTCAGGTAGGACGCAATCCAAGAGTGAGCCGCGCTGGAGATGCCCATCTCGGAGAGGGTGGAGAGGAGGATCTGATGGTTCACAGTATCAAATCAAATCAAATCAAATCAAATTTTATTGGTCACATGCGCCGAATACAACAGGTGCAGACATTACAGTGAAATGCTTACTTACAGCCCTTAACCAACAGTGCATTTATTTTAAACAAAAAAGTAAGAATAAAACAACAACAAAAAAGTGTTGAGAAAAAAAGAGCAGAAGTAAAAATAAAGTGACAGTAGGGAGGCTATATATACAATAGAATAAAGTGACAGTAGGGAGGCTATATATACAGGGGGGTACCGTTGCATAGTCAATGTGCGGGGGCACCGGCTAGTTGTGGTAGTTGAGGTAATATGTACATGTGGGTAGAGTTAAAGTGACTATGCATAAATACTTAACAGAGTAGCAGCAGCGTAAAAAGGATGGGGTGGGGGGGCAGTGCAAATAGTCCGGGTAGCCATGATTAGCTGTTCAGGAGTCTTATGGCTTGGGGGTAGAAGCTGTTGAGAAGTCTTTTGGACCTAGACTTGGCACTCCGGTACCGCTTGCCGTGCGGTAGCAGAGAGAACAGTCTATGACTAGGGTGACTGGAGTCTTTGACAATTTTGAGGGCCTTCCTCTGACACCGCCTGGTATAGAGGTCCTGGATGGAAGGGAGCTTTGCCCCAGTGATGTACTGGGCCGTACGCACTACCCTCTGTAGTGCCTTGCGGTCAGAGGCCAAGCAGTTGCCATACCAGGCGGTGATGCAACCAGTCAGGATGCTCTCGATGGTGCAGCTGTAGAATTTTTTGAGGATCTGAGGACCCATGCCAAATCTTTTTAGTCTCCTGAGGGGGAATAGGCTTTGTCGTGCCCTCTTCACGACTGTCTTGGTGTGTTTGGACCATGATAGTTCGTTGGTGATGTGGACACCAAGGAACTTGAAGCTCTCAACCTGTTCCACTACAGCCCCGTCGATGAGAATGGGGGCGTGCTCAGTCCTCTTTTTTTTCCTGTAGTCCACAATCATCTCCTTTGTCTTGGTCACGTTGAGGGAGAGGTTGTTGTCCTGGCACCACACGGCCAGATCTCTGACCTCCTCCCTATAGGCTGTCTCATCGTTGTCGGTGATCAGGCCTACCACTGTTGTGTCGTCGGCAAACTTAATGATGGTGTTGGAGTCGTGCCTGGCCATGCAGTCATGGGTGAACAGAGAGTACAGGAGGGGACTGAGCACGCACCCCTGAGGGGCCCCCGTGTTGAGGATCAGTGTGGCAGATGTGTTGTTACCTACCCTTACCACCTGGGGGCGGCCCGTCAGGAAGTCCAGGATCCAGTTGCAGAGGGAGGTGTTTAGTCCCAGGATCCTTAGCTTAGTGATGAGCTTTGAGGGCACTATGGTGTTGAATGCTGAGCTGTAGTCAATGAATAGCATTCTCACATAGGTGTTCCTCTTGTCCAGGTGGGAAAGGGCAGTGTGGAGTGCGATAGAGATTGCATCATCTGTGGATCTGTTGGGGCGGTATGCAAATTGGAGTGGGTCTAGGGTTTCTGGGATTATGCTGTTGATGTGAGCCATGACCAGTCTTTCAAAGCACTTCATGGCTACAGACGTCAGTGCTACGGGTCGGTAGTCATTTAGGCAGGTTATCTTAGAGTTCTTGGGCACGGGGACTATGGTGGTCTGCTTGAAACATGTTGGTATTACAGACTCAGTCAGGGACATGTTGAAAATGTCAGTGAAGACACTTGCCAGTTGGTCAGCACATGCTCGGAGTACACGTCCTGGTAATCCGTCTGGCCCTGCGGCCTTGTGAATGTTGACCTGCTTAAAAGTCTTACTCACATCGGCTACGGAGAGCGTGAGGCAGCAGACAGGCAGCAGACAGGTCTAGAAGGACAAGAGCAGAGGAGAGAGAGTTAGCTTTAGCAGTGCGGAGAGCCTCCGTGACACAGAGAAGAGCAGTCTCAGTTGAATGACCAGTCTTGAAACCTGACTGGTTTGGATCAAGAAGGTAATTCTGAGAGAGATAGCAAGAGAGTTGGCTAAAGATGGCACGCTCAAGAGTTTTGGAGAGAAAAGAAAGAAGGGATACTGGTCTGTAGTTGTTGACATCAGAGGGATTGAGTGTTGGTTTTTTGAGAAGGGGTGCAACTCTCGCTCTCTTGAAGACGGAAGGGACATAGCCAGCGGTCAAGGATTAGTTGATGAGCGAGGTGAGGTAAGGGAGAAGGTCACCGGAGATGGTCTGGAGAAGAGAGGAGGGGATAGGGTCAAGCGGGCAGGTTGTGGGGCGGCTGGCCGTCACAAGTTGCAAGATTTTTTATCTGGAGAGAGAGGGGAGAAAGAAGTCAAAGCATAGAGTCCCAGTGTGAGCAGGACCAGCAGTGTCATTTGACTTAACAAACGAGGATCGGATGTCGTCAACCTTCTTTTCAAAATGGTTGACGAAGTCATCCACAGAGAGGGAGGAGGGGGGAGGGGGAGGAGGATTCAGCAGGGAGGAGAAGGTGGCAAAGAGCTTCCTAAGGTTTGAGGCAGATGCTTGGAATTTAGAGTGGTAGAAAGTGGCTTTAGCAGCAGAAACAGATGAAGAAAATGTAGAGAGGAGGGAGTGAAAAGATGCCAGGTCCGCAGGGAGTCTAGTTTTCCTTTATTTCCGCTCGGCTGCCTGGAGCCCTGTTCTGTGAGCTCCGGATGAGTCATCAAGCCACGGAGCTGGAGGGGAGGACCGAGCCGGCCGGGAGGATAGGGGACATAGAGAGTCAAAGGATGCAGAAAGGGAGGAGAGGAGGGTTGAGGAGGCAGAATCAGGAGATTGGAGGGAGAAGGTTTGAGCAGAGGGAAGAGATGATAGGATGGAAGAGGAGAGAGTAGCGGGAGAGAGAGAGCGAAGGTTGCGACGGCGCATTACCATCTGAGTAGGGGCAGAGTGAGTAGTGTTGGAGGAGAGCGAGAGAGAAAAGGATACAAAGTAGTGGTCGGAGACATGGAGGGGAGTTGCAGTGAGATTAGTAGAAGAACAGCATCTAGTAAAGATGAGGTCAAGCGTATTGCCTGCCTTGTGAGTAGGGGGGGACGGTGAGAGGGTGAGGTCAAAAGAGGAGAGGAGTGGAAAGAAGGAGGCAGAGAGAAATGAGTCAAAGGTAGACGTAGGGAGGTTGAAGTCCCCCAGAACTGTGAGGGGTGAGCCATCCTCAGGAAAGGAACTTATCAAGGCGTCAAGCTCATTGATGAACTCTCCAAGGGAACCTGGAGGGCGATAAATGACAAGGATGTTAAGCTTAAATGGGATAGTGACTGTGACAGCATGGAATTCAAATGAGGAGATTGACAGATGGGTCAGGGGAAAAATAGAGAATGTCCACTTGGGAGAGATGAGGATTCCTGTGCCACCGCCCCACTGACCAGATGCTCTCGGGGTATGCGAGAACACATGGTCAGACGAGGAGAGAGCAGTAGGAGTAGCAGTGTTTTCAGTGGTAATCCATGTTTCCGTCAGCGCCAATAAGTCGAGGGACTGGAGGGTAGCATAGGCTGAGATGAACTCTGCCTTGTTGGCAGCAGAACGGCAGTTCCAGAGGCTGCCGGAGACCTGAAACTCCACGTGGGTGGTGCGTGCAGGGACCACCAGGTTAGAG